CAGGCAGACCAGGCAGGCCAGGCAGTGTTGGCAGCCCCACATTTGTGTGCAGATAAAACAGGAAGAACAATTGGGGAGTGAGACAAACTATGCAATCCAGGGTTCCGGCACTATAAACTAAAGCCTCCAAACCACTAGCTATAAAAACTTGTGGGTATAGAAACAGCAGGAGAAACTCCTAGCCTCACAGGAAAGTTCACTGGAGAGTTCACAGGGTCCTAGAATGGACAAAAACCCACCCACCCAGTAATCAGCACCAGAAGGTCCCAATATGGTTGTGGGTATTGTGGGAAGTGAATGAAAGCCTGCCAAGAGCTAAGCAAGTGGCACTGTTACATTGATGGCCCCTCCCCCACATACAGCACCACAATGAAGCACATACCACAACACAGACATGTATGTTGCCCTACCCTGGCAAATACCTGAGGCTCCACCATTTATAACATAACAGGTGCACTGAGACAAAAAAAAAATGGCCCAAATGAAAGAACAGATCAATGCTCCAGGAAAAATACAACTGAGTGATGAACACATAGCCAACCTATCAGATGAACATTTCAAAACACTGGTAATCAGGTTGCTCACAGAAATGGTTGAGTATGGTTGCAAAATAGAGGAAAAAGTGAAAGCTATGAAAACTAAAGTAAAGGAAAATGTACAGAGAACCAACAGTGATGGGAATAACACCAGGACTCAAATCAATGGTTTGGAGAAAGAACAAATAAATATTCAACCAAAAAGAATGAAGAAGCAAGAATTTTAAAAAATGAGGACAGGCTTGGGAAATGGCTTAGGAATTTATCCTGGACTACTTTAAATGTTCCAACATCTGAGTCATATAGGTGCTATAGAAGAGGAAGAGCAAGAAATTAAGAACATATTTGGAAACATAATGGAGAACTTCCCTATTCTGGCAAAGAAAATAGACTTCTAGGAAGTCCAGGAAGCTCAAAGAGTGCCGAAGAAATTTGTTCCAAGGACGCACACACCAAGGCACATTATAATTCCATTACCCAGGATTAAACAGAAGTAGAGAATCTTAAAAGCTACAAGAGGGCAGGGAGACAGTGACCAGAGGGGAGAGGAAAGGGAATTTCAGGGGGAAAAGGAGAAGGATTTATAGGAACTAGTATAGAGGGGGGTGGAAATGGGAGGGAGGTGGGGAGCACTGGGGGGGTGGGCTGGGATCTGAGTAAAAGACAGAAAACTGTACTCGAACAATAATTAAATTTTTAAAAATTTAAAAAGCTACAAGAAAAAAGGAGAGAGGTACCTACAAATGAGTTCCCATAAGACTTTAAGCTGATTTCTCAAAAGAAACCTTACAGGCAAGAAAGGGCTGGAAAGAATTATTTGAATAAATAAAAGGCAGGGACCTACAGCCAAGATTACTCTGCCCAGCAAAGCTTTCATTTGGAGGGCAGATAAAATACTTCCCAGATAAGGTCAAGATAAAGGAGTTCATCGTCACCAAGCCCTTATCACATGAAATGTTAAAGGGGCTTATCTAAAAATAGAAGATGATAAAAAATATGAACAGTAAAATGACAACAAACTCACAACTATCAACAACTAAAAACAAAGATAAAAAATAAACTAAGCAAACAAGTATAACAGGAAGAGAATCACAGAAATGGAAATTACATGGAGGGTTATCAGCAGGGAGGAGGAGCAAGAAGAATGAGTGAAAAGGCACAGAGAATATATAGGATAAATGGTAGGTACAAAATTGACAGGGGCAGATTAAGAATAGTATAGGAAATAGAGGAGATAAAGAACATATATGTACAACTCATAGACATCAACTAAGGGTAGGAAGTGCTTGTGGGAGAGCAGGTACAGGGTGGAGGGGAATAAAGGTAAGAAAAAATGGGACAACTGCAATAGCATAATCAATAAAATAATCTTTTTAAAAAATATATTTTATTGATTATGCCATTACAGTTGTTCTATTTCACCCCTTCATTCCCCTCCACCCTGCACACCGCTCCCCCACCATTCCCCCCCTTTAGTTTATGACCATGTGTCTCAAGGTCTTTAGATTCTATATTTCCCATACTATTCTTGCCCTCCCCCTATCTATTTTCTACCTACCATCTATGCTACTTATTTTCTGTACCTTCTCCCCCTTTCTTTTTCTCCCACTACCCTATTGCTAACCCTCCATGTGATCTTCATTTCTATGGTTCTGCTCCTGATCTAGCTGTCCTCTTAATTTGCTTTTGTTTTAGGTGAGGTTGTTAATAACCATGAGTTTACTGTCCTTTTACTGTTCATCTTTTTTATTTTTTTTTCTTAAGTAAGTCCCTTTAACATTTCATATAATAAGGGCTTGGTGATGATGAACTCCTTGATCTTATCTGAGAAGCACTTTATCTGTCCTTCCATTCTAAATGAAAGCTTTGCTGGATAGAGCAATCTTGGTTGTAGGTGTTTGGATTTCATGACTTGGAGTACTTCTTTCCAGCCCCTTCTTGCCTGTAAGGTCTCTTTTGAGAAATCCACTGACAGTCTGATGGGAACTCCTTTGTAGGTGACTGTGACCTGCCCCCACATACAGCGTCACAAAACAGCGACCTGGGTGGCCCCGCCCTGGTGAACACCTAAGGCTCTGCTCCTCATACCTAACAGGCATGAACAGATCAAAACATAGCTCAAGAACAACTCATGCCCTGGCTGGTGTAGCTCAGTGGATTGAGCGCGGGCCTGCAAACCAGGCAATCACGGTTCGATTCCCAGTCAGGGCACATGCCTGGGCTGCAGACCAGTTCCCTGCAGGCCAGTTCCCAGCAGTGGACGCACGAAAGGCAACCATACATTGATGTTTCTCTCTCTCTCTTCTTCCCTTTCCCTCTAAAGATAAATAAATAAAATATTTTTAAAAAAGAACAGCTCAGAGTCCCAGAGCCGATAAATCTAAGCGATGAAGAAATAGCCAAACTTTCAGATGCACAGTTCAAAACACTGGTGATCAGGATACTCACAGAACTGGTTGATTTAGTCACAAATTAGAGGAACATATACAGGCTAAACATTGAAATGAATAGAAATGCACAGGAAATCAAGAAAATAATCTTTAAAAATAAAAAAAATTAAAAAATGAATTTCATAACTTCACCTTCAGTCTTTATTTTCCCAGCTAGAAGAAAAGGAGTGAACATTTAAACCTCTTTTTTTCAGAGGTTCAAATCACATAGGTTAAGAGTAAAGGTATGGAGAAAAACATTACATGCAAATAAAAAGATAAAAAACTGGTGTGGCAATACTTATCATTGACAAAATAGACTTTAAAACAAAGGCTACAGTAAGAGACAAAGAAGGATACCACATAATAATAAAGGGAATAATCCAACAAGAGGCTATAACCCTATTCATATTATGAATCCAACATATGAATATCTAAATATGTAAAGCAAATCTTGATGGACATAAATTAGCAGATTGACAGTAATATAGTCATAGTACAGGATTTTAGCATCCCATTGACATCAATGGATAGACTTTCCAGAAAATTTATACAGAATCAACAAAGAAATCAACAAGGATTTAGACAGAAAAATCAATGAGGAAATAATAGTCTTAAATGATCCACTAGTTTACATGGATTTAATAGATATCTTCTGAGTATTTTATCCCAAACCAGTAGAATATATAGTCTTTTCAAGTGAACATAGAACACTTTCTAGGCTAGACCACATGTTAGGACACAAAACAAGTCTCAATAACTTTAAGAAGATTGAAATCATATCAAGTATATTCTCTGATCACAATAGTATGAAACTGTAGATATTAATCACCAAAAAACCCCACATAAACTGAAGAACACACAAAGATAGCTAAATAACATGTTACTAAACAATGAATGGGTTAACAATGAAATCAAATAAGAAATCAGAAGAGACCTTGAAACAAATGAACATGAGAACACAATCACCCAAAAATCTATGGGGCACAGCGAAAGCAGTCCTAAGAGGAAAATTGATGGAATTAGAGGACTAACTCAAGACACAAGAAAAACTCAAATAAACAATCTAACTTTACATTTAGAGGAAAAAGAAAAAGAATAACAAAGGCCAAAGTGAGTGGAAGGGAAAACGTATTAGAGATCAGAGAAGAAATACATGAAATACAGTCTTTAAAAGACAATAGAAAAGATCAGTGAAACCAAGAGCTAGCTGGTTCTTTGAAAAGATAATCAAGATTGACAAACCTTTAACCAGACTCATCAAGAAAAGAAGGGCAAGTACCCAAATAAGTAAAATCAGAAATGAAAGAGAAGTAAAACTGACACCAAAGAAATGTGTTTCCTACAAAAGATTGTAAGAAAATACAAACAACTATATGCCAACTAATTGGACAATCTGGAAGTAATGGATAAATTCCTAGAAACATACAATCTTCCAAAACTAAATCAGGAAGTACCAGAGAATGTGAATAGACATATTAAACTAGTGAAATTGAAGTAGTAATAGAAAAAACTCCCAAGAAACACAAATCCTAAAATAGATACCCTCACAGGTGAATTTTACCAAACTTTAAACAAAACTAACAATTATCCTTCTCAAACTATTCCAAAAAATTCAAGAGTAGGGGAGACTCCCAAGCTCATTTTATGAGGACAGCATTACTCTAATTCCAAAACCAGGTAAAGACACTACAAGGAGAAAAAAAAATTATAGGCCAATATTCCTAATGAACACAGATGCTAAATTTCTCAACAAAATATTAGCAAACCAGGTTCAGCAACACATTAAAAAGATCATATGCCATGATCAATTGAGATTTATTTAAGGGATGCAAGGTTGGTATGTATCTACAAATCAATAAATGTGATGCATCACATAAGCAAAAGGAAGGATGAAGTTACAAGATCATATCAATAGATGCAGGAAAAGCATTTAATAAAATTCAGCACCCATTTATTAAAAAAAACAAACAAACATCCGAGTAGTTTGGGAATAGAGGTAATATACTTAAACTCAGTAAAAACCATATATGACACTGCCCCTTGAGGCATTGTAGATGTGGGTGCTGTGTCACATTTGTGTCATTAGGTGGCAGAGAGCGGAGAGGCCTGTCTATACCCAGTGTTCTGGCATGAGTGCCTGGATGATTGATGGTCTGACACTTGGCAAACAAAAAACAAAAAACACATATGACAAACTCACTGCCGGCATCAAACTCAATGGACGAACCTACAAGAGTTTCCCTTAAGATCAGGAACAAGATCTTAAGATCTATAAGAGAGGGATGTCTGCTTTCACCACTCTTTTTTCTCAGATTCTACTTTATTTATTTTTAGACAGGAGGAAATGGGGGAGAAAGAGAGAGAGAGAAACATCAATGTGTGGTTGCACTCATGCACCACCTACAGGTGTCCTGGCCCACAACCCAGGCATGTCCTCTGACTGGAAATCGAACTGATGACCCTTTGATCAGCAGGCTAGCACTCAATCCACTGAGCCACACCAGCCAGGGCAGCTTTCACTACTCTTACTCAACATAGATAGTACTGGAAGTCTTAACCACGTCAACTAGACAAAAAGAAGAAATAAAAGGCATCCAGATTGGAAAAAAAGAGACAAAATGGTCATTATTTGCAGATGATTTGATACTTCATATAGAAGACCCTAAAATGTTTTTAAAAAAACCTACTAGAATTAATAAATGAATTTAGTAAAGTAGCAGCATACAAAATAATTATCCAGAAAATAATTGCATTTTTATACACTGATAATGAACTATCAGAGAGGGAGATTAAGAAAACAATTCTATCACAATTACTTCAAAAACAGTAAAATACGTAGGAATAAATTTAACCAAGATTTGTAAAGACCTGTATTTGGAGAGTAAAAAAGACACTGAATAATGAGATTGAATAAGGTACAAATAAATGGAAGTATATACCATGTTCCTGACTAGAATTAACATCATTAAAATGTCCATACTACCCAAAGCAATCTATAGATTCAGTGCAATTCCTATCAAGATACCAATGGCATATTTCACAGAACTAGAACAACTATCTCAAAAATGTGTGTGGAACCAAAATAGACCCTGAGAAATCTTGAGAAAGAAGAACAAAATTAGAAGAATCATGCTACCTGATATCAAACAATACTACAAGTCCATAGTAATGAAAACAACATGTTGCTGACATGAAAACAGACAGATCAATAAAACCAATTGGAGAGTTCAGGAATAAGTCCACATACTTATTGTCAATTAATATTTGACAAAGTAAGCAATAACATACAATGAGGTAAAGATTGTTCAATAAATGGTGTTGGTAAAATTGGATGGATACATGTAAAAAATGAAACTAGACCACCTTCTTACACCATACACAAAAATAAACTTAAAAGGGATTAAAAACTTAAATGTTAGACTCAAATACATAAAAATCTTGGAAGAAAACATAGGCAGTAAAATCTCTGATATTTATTGTAGCAATACCTTTTCTGATGTATTGGCTCAAGCAAGGGAAACAAAAGAAAGAAAAACTAAATAAATGAAAATATATCAAACTAAAAATTTTTTGCACAACAAAGTAAAACCAATAATAAAATGAAAGACAAACCACTGAATGGGAGAACATATTTATATCTGATAATAGGTTTATACTCATAAAAGGTTAGTATCCAAAATTTATAAAGAATTTTATTTTATTTTATTTTATTTTAAATATTTTTTATTTTATTGATTATGCCATTACATTTGTTCTATTTCTCCCCCTTCATTCCCCTCCACCCTGCACAACCCTCCCCCACCATTCCCCCTTTAGTTCATGAACACGTGTCTCAAGTTCTTTAGATTCTGTATTTCCCCTACTATTCTTACCCTCCCTTTATCTATTTTCTATCTAAAACTCAACCCTAAAACACCAAACAACTCAATTAAAAAATGGGCAAAGGGTCTGAACAGACACTTCTCCAAAGAGGACATAGAGATGGCCAATAGATATATGTAAAGGTGCTCACTGTCACTAATCATCAGAAAAAAATGCAAATTAAAACCATGATGAGAAACCACCTCACAACTGAGGGAATGGCTATCATCAACAAATCAACAAGCAACAAATGCTAGTGAGGTTATGAAGAAAAGGGACCCCTCGTGCATTTTAGTGGGAATGCAGTTTGGTGCAGCCACTATGGGAAGCAGTATGGAGTTACTTCAAATAATTAAATATAGAACAGCCTTATGAATCAGCATTTTCACTTCTTGTATATGTCGGAAGAATCCTGAAACAATAGTTTGAAATAATATATCCATTTACCCCTATGTTCACTGCAGCATTATTCAAAATAACCAAGATTTGAAATCATCCCAAGTATCCATTGTTGTAGACCGCTCTGCCTGGTTTTAGGAATTGTATCTCGACCCCTTGTGGCTAAGGGTGAGGGGCAACCTTTGGAATGCCAGCCGCAGGAGACAAAGCTTGTCTCTGGTAGCAAATGCTGCCTCAGTTTCCTCTCCCTGCCCCCAAAGCTCGGTAGGAAGTCAATGATGGATAAGACCCCTCACAGCGGGAGGCAACCTAAGCCAGACTCGATCACTTGGGAGGCCTTCATGGAAGCACTCAGGGGGCTGCAACAAAGAGCAATGTACTCTTGCCCTCCCCCCACCCCGGCTTTGACATAGCACAAGTCCTCATATCCTCTGGGACAAGTGCTTCCTGGCTCTAATCCCCTTATGCCTGAATACCTGATACGGAGAGGTGCAGCTCCTTGCCTTGCTAGAGCTTGTCCTGGGGGAAAATCTGGCATCACAAAGACTTGCTGATTAACCTGTGAAATCTGCTCTGCTAAGAGTGCTTTCATTCATATGTTAAGGGTTTGAGCAAGAAACCCTAAAACTCTTACTACAGGAAAATTAAACAACCAGACACTGAGGGATTCTGGAGTACGAGGTTTGTTAACATGCACAGGCCCAGAATAGTCAATCTCCAAATTCTGAGCCCTGAACAAAGGATTCTTGGGGTTTATATAGCCTACGGGTTCTTCCTGTCTACTTAGCAAAGCGAGATACAGAAGCGGAACGCAGTAATTAGTTCTATCTATGGGGCAGAAGCAGAGTACAAAGGCTAAATGTGAAAATTAGTTCTATCAGCAGGGGTGCTAGCCCCAGTCCTTGTGACTATCCTGCTGTTTGCTCTTCCCAGACGGCCTTATCACTCTCCCAGGGCACCTGGGGTTTTGGGTGAGCAAAGGTCTTCCATAGCTTCCCACTTCACTCTGTTCCTGACAGATTCAGACTCATAGTAAGCCCTCAGATTTCTCTGAAATGTTATCTACTGTTTGATCCTTGCCGCCCTGTATTCCTGTGTATTATAACCCAATAAAAGCCCTGGAGGAGGGAGCTCAAAGCCTTTTTCTCCTTGGAGAAACTGGCCACAGCTGGCCTTTTTCCCCTGAGAAACTGGCCACTGCCCACTTCTCCTCCCCAAGTAGATCACATCATGTCTCAGTCATACTCACCCTCATCAGTGGCAACGGGGAGGACTTGCGAGAAAGTCGCTCCCACAATCCATCAATGGATGAGTAGATTAAAAAACTATGGTGCATTTGTACAATGGAATACTACCTGGCTGTTAAAAAAAAAAAAAAAAAAGGAAATCTTAAACTTTGCAACAGCACGGACGTATCTAGATAGCATTATGCTAGGTGAAATAAGCCAATCAGAGAAAGACAAGTACCGCATAATTTCACTCATATGTAGAATCTAATGAACAAATAAACTAACAAACAAAATGGAAACAGACTCATAGAGAACAGACTGACAGCTATAGAGAGGAGAGAGGGGCTTGCCCGGAGTGGTGACAAGGGTGAAGGGATTAAGCAAAATAAACAACAAAACTAATACATACAGACAATAGTATGGTGATTGCTGGGTAGGGACAGGGAGGAAGGTCAGGATAGGAAGGAAAGGGTAAAGGGGGCATAAATAATGATGGAAAGAGACTTGACTTGGGGTGGGAAGCACACAATACAATATACAGACAATGTATTATAGAATTGTACACATAAAACCTATATAATTTTATTAATCAATGTCACTCCAATAAATTCAATGGAAAAGAAAAATAGTGATATAATTATCTTGGAAATGAAGTTAGATGGCTTTCATGCCTTTACCTGCATAAAGTGAAAATGATAAAATTCATTTAACTTAATATGAATAAATTATTAAATCACTTCTGAGGAAAGGAGCTTTATCATAGGAAAGGTATACTAAACAGGTAAATAAATGTTGATTGATTAAGAAATGGGAGAATGCCTAGAGAGGATTTGGCAAAGAAAAGGGAGGGTAAAGGCCCAAAGACTCATCATTTTCTCCCCAGTTTGCACTGGGACAGTTAAAAAACTTTAAATAAAATTTTTATCTACTAAGAGGCTGTTGGGGACCGCTCTGCCTGGTTTCAGGAGTTGTAACTACCTCTCATGGCTAAGGATGAGTGAGTGACCTCCAGAATGTGATCCACAGGAGACAGTAGTGAACAATGCCTCAGTTTCCTCTCCCTGCCCCCAAAGCATGGTCAGAAGTCAATGACGGGTAAGACTCCTCACAGAGAGAGGGGCAACCTAAGCCAGACTCGATCACTTGGGAGGCCATCATGGAAGGACTTGGGGGGCTGCAACAAAGAGGGAGTGATGGACCCTTATTTCCCTGGACTATGTGACATATAGCCTGAGTCCCCATGTACTCTGGGAGAAGCACTTCCTGGCTCTAATCCACTTAAGCCTGAAAACCTGATGGGGAGGGGTGTAGCTCCTTGCCTTGCTAGAGCAGTATCCGGGGAAATCTGGCATAAAAAAGAATTTCTAAAAATCCTGTGAAACCTGCTTTGCTAAGAGTACTTTTATTCATATGTTAAGGGTCTGAGCAGGAAATGAGTATGTCTCCCAAAGTTTCTGCAATCCCCTTTCCTGACAGACACTGACTCAGACTAAGCCCTCAGATTTCCTTGAAATGTTTACTGTTTGATCCTTGCTGCCCTATATTCCTATGCATTACAACCCAACAAAAGCCCCTGAAGGAAGGGGTCCCTGGCCTTTTTCCTTTGAGAAACTGCCAACCTCTCCTCCCCAAGCAGATCATGTCTTGGTAGTGTGTACTTTCATCCTTGGTG